AAAATAAACTAGGCGTAAATATGTGCGCACTGTACGGACACTCTAGACCATGCGTACGCACTCTTTTACTGGAATGAGCAAAATAAGGAAGCAAACAGAATGATTTTAAAGTCTGTTTTACATTTGACATACACATTTAGATTAAATATGACACTCTGAATAATGAAGTTAAGCACTGAAATTTCATGAAATTATTATCCAGAAATGACCAAATTTGTATATGTATTTAAATGTGGATGTGCTGCTTTCGACCAATTTTCCTGTGGTATGTGATTTACTGTTTTAATCACAGCGAGGACTGCTTGGCGCATGACAATTCCGCTTTAAATTGTGTTCTAAATAGCAAAACTCATGTTCTGGGAAAATACTTTTGCGTGAATATTAATGATCATTTTTTGTGATCTTGACTTCGTCTGATGGCGAAGTCTGAATTTCGTCTGAATTTTACTTCCTTTTATGTAAAGCACTTTGAATTACCATTGTGTATGAAATGTGCTATATAAATAAACTTGCCTTGCCTAGGAGATATTTAATTTTATTTTTGAAAAATATTACAAATATGGTTGTTATTGCTTTTTTTCTCAGCTTAACCAGTTTGAAATGTTTTTTTATTAATGCTATAAAAAAAACAGTATACAAAAAATAAAACAACCATCAAGATACAAATTATCTATAATAACAAAAAAGTAAATAAATAATAAAATACGTTTTTTTACAGTATGGCCCTCTATTACGTCATAAAGGGCGGGACTCCTTGTATGGGCACTTCTCCCAGAAGCGCATGCGCACACATCAAACACAGAGAGAGCAAGAGCACAGGACTGGCTCCAGGAGGATTTCTCATCTTGTTTCTAGATTACGATTTCAACAATGTCACCAAAAAAGTGTGTTTTTGGTTGCGAGGGAAAGATAAGCTTGTTCAGCTTCCCAAAGAACCCAGCGTTAAGGGAGCAGTGGATGCGGTGTGTTTTCCCGGGGCAGCAACGGCGTTGCACGCATGTGTTTGTTTGTTCCCGTCATTTCAGTGATGAATGTTTTACAAACAAGGCCCAGTTTGACGCTGGGTTTGCAGATCGTTTGAAAATGAAAGATGCAGCGATCCCAGAAATAAAAGATCCCGGTCATGAGTCGAACCCGCAGGCGGTAAGTAAAATAAAATCAAATGTCTGTATTGTTGCAAATGGACACGCAAGTGCATGTACTTAATGTAAACAACACGAACACATAGTGCATCAAAAGTTACCCAGCCACGGTGTATTATGTGTGCATTGTTTATTTTAAAACCCCTCCAAACACACTGGGTATTCGGATGCAGTGCTCTACGCAAGATTGGCAGAAACTGTGTTCGTCCTCTGTTCAGTGTTGCCAACTAGTTTTCAGGGGAAGTTGCTAAAGGAAGGGCGATTTGTTGCTAAAAGTTGCTAAATGACGTTGTGATGTCATTGCGCGATGACGTCATTACGTAATCACGACGCAAAATTGTGTCACTACATCAAATCTCAGCAAAAATATATATGGTGCTTTTGGAAGAAAAAGTTGCTAGGGTAGTCTGAAAAGTTGCTAAATTTAGCAACAAAATTGCCAAGTTGGCAACACTGCCTCCGTTGCATTGAAGTCATATCCAGCTACGTTGGCGCTCCAGTCCAGCAGGGGGCGGAAGTGCGTCATGTTGCTGCGTCGGAAGTAGCGCAGAGTTTTTATTTTGATTAAAGCGATTCAGGTCGGTTATGTGACTTTACATCATGATGTGTTTTTTTTAGGTTTTGTGACCGTCTGATATACTTTATCATATCTCGCTATTTTGTAGCAGAGTATTATGTTTTAATACATCAAATCCAGCAACTGAACGGATGTTTTTTTTATAAAAGTGGCTTGTCTGTTGTATTATAGTATTCCTGATAGAAAGCAAAAGTCGCGTTTATAACATTTTAATGATTTATTGAGCACCTGTTTGTCTCTAGGTTAATTTTTCATGGTAAAGCTAGAGTTAAAAAGTGTCCTTATGTAAAGGTTTTGTATTTGGAACGTTTTATCAAATGCTTTTTATGTTTAGATTTACCATATTATCCCAGACATTCAGTTGAAAACCATAAAAAGTTATTGTAAATATTCTTTTAGTATTTATTGTGTAAAAGTGATATCATATATGAAAGACTAAGATATGTGATATTTAAAAAAATTAATCTGAGGAAACACCTAATCATATGTAAATGGATTTATCAGTTCATTATAAATGCATCTTTAATAATCATGGTGTGTTTGTGTTCAGATGTTGAGCATGAAAGCGCAGGTGGATGTGGTCTGCTGTAAATCAGTAGGAACTGATCTGTCCATGCTGGATATTGAGGATTTCATCACAGAAATCTGTCAGCTGAAGAAAGAGGTGGCTTCACTGGAGGCAAAGCTGAGAGAAAGAGGAGACAAACTGAACAGAGAGGTTTGAGCAGCTCTTCATTTCATCTTTAGCTGCTAATATGGACTGATTGTTATGTGAATTAATGTCTTATTTTTAATCATACTCTTACTAGATGTATTACTGATTGTGTTTGTCAGGATGTGGAGCAGGTTTCAGTGCGTGTGACTGATGGGACAGAAGCTCAGGATTCAGTCTGGAGCGTCAGAGATCAGAGATCCAGAGACACACAGGACTCAGAGCTCAGCCTCACTTTACTCTGTTATACTGACGCTCAGGATCATGAATCCACTGATCAAACCTCTGACTGTAACGCTGGAGAACAGCAGATGCTGCAGACGCCGCTGAAGATGTGCTCCGTCAAACTGGTGGACTGCAGGAACCTGATAGAGAGCAGAGGAGAAGAAACCACCGCAGAGAAAGAACAACAACACAGTGATGAGGAAGAGGAGGATGATGGGAATGATGAAGACGAAGATTTCATTCCTCCAGGTTTGTTTCTTCCTTTTATGACCTTTTGTTGTTTTTTTATGACACTTGAATTTCACTCTGCAGGATCAGGTTCATATTGACTGATGGTGCAGATTTTCTGAGATATTTGGGAACATGATGTTAGCAGGGTTGAACAATTTACAGGAAAAAAAATATTGATTGGGATTAAAAATGTGTGTTTTTAAAGAGCTCCAGGTTTGCTGTGTTTGTTCTTAGGGCTGCTTGATTTGGCCAAATATCAAATTATGTTTTTTTTGTACAACCCCAAATCAGAAAAAAATGGTACATTTTGAAAAAAGCCAAAAGTACATAGAAAAAAGTTTTCACTGACCAAATGAATTGTATTTTGTAAACATAAATTCATTTTGATTTTGATGGCTGCAACACACTCCAAAAAAGTTGGGACAGAGGGATGTTTAACCCTGTGTCCAGTGTTAAGCCTTTGCGGTCCCCCCCGCATCCCCTTCCTTGTAAATAAAAATAAACTCGATGCACACGTCATCATAATCCCATATATATAGGCTAAAAATCATTTACATAATCTTACAAATCAGAAACTGCCCGGCCAATAAAATGAATAAAATATCACTCACCACTGAAAGGTCTTCTTTCTGCTCTCTTCAAAGAGAATTCCTCAATTTAATCCACATCCATCATACAAAAAATGTTACACAAACCACTGGCATGAGTAAATTTTACCACCATGGAATTGTGACTGCACAAAGGTGTAATAATTTAGGAGGTGGATACTGTGAAATTACATACATTATGGCATAACATTGCCATATGAAGCATCAATCAATAAAGAATGTTTAAACAAGGGCAATTAAAAATTTGAACTCAAATTTTATTGCAATGTAGCAATATGAATGTAGCCTATGAATGCATGAAATGCATTGTAGCCGATGAATGCATGAAAATGAGCTTTTTTCCAGTGAAAGAGAACATATAGAGTGTGGGCTGCTTTTGGTGCTTGAATTTGTTTTCCAATAATGAGGTCCAAGTTTAATAATACACTAGAAGTCAAAATTTTTAAAATGTATAATTTTGTTTCTCTATTTAACAACATTAACTTACAATAGTGAAATATGTCTTCCCTCAGGTCGATTGTATGTGCTTGCGATTAAAAAAATCAAGTCTCTGCATTCGCCCAAGCTGATTTGCAGAAATCAAACGTGCCTAGAAATTGGGCTGGCAGACTCTAGCGTTGTCCTGAGACCCTGACCTGGATTTGTGCCCAAGGATCCCACTACTCCTTTAGGGACCAAGTGGTGACCCTGCAGGCTCTCCCTTCTGTCGAGGGAGACCCAACCCTGTCTCTGTTGTGCCCACTGTGAGCCCTGCGCATCTATTTGGAATGCACACAGATTTTCAGATCATCTGCACAGCTTTTTGTCTGCTTTGGAGGACAGCAGAAGGGGAAGGCCGTCTCCAAACAGAGAATCTCCCTCTGGATTCCTTTAGCAATTCCATAGGATGCATCTCACCTCCCTTTCAATCAGGATGTGGTCTCCGTAGTGATCTTTTCACACTAGAGGAAGTGAATGTTCACAACCAGGTTCACCAAGTGTTTAATTTTTATTAATGTTTTTAAGCAGAGGAACAGGCTTCTGGCTGATATGACCTCTGACATTATGTGGCAACTGTCCCAGGTTGAAGGACAAGGTGGTCTTCCTTCCTGGGCATTGGAAGGTTACGAGGATGAGAGGTGCATTTGAATCTGCACCACAGTGGACTCGTAATGCAGTTCAAACAGTTGTGGCACTTAATATATGGTTGTTATTATTATTACTTCCTTTATTTAGCCAGCAATGTCTCATTGAGATAATTACAATCTCTTCTTCCAGAGAGACCTGGTCAAAAGAGATCCCAAAAAGGCATAGGTACCCCTAGTGTTGGAACTTTGAGTCAACATCAGTGTGACTGACATTAATTTTGATATTTTATAACCTTTCACTTTTATTTTGCCTCTGTCCCAACTTTTTGGAGTGTGTTGGGCAGTCGTGGCCTAATGGTGAGAGACTTGTAACACAAAGGTTGCGGGTTCGAGTCTCAGGTCCGGCAGGAATTGATGGTGGGGGGAGTGAATGACCAGCGCTCTCTTCCACCCTCAATACCATGACTGAAGTGAGACCCTTGAGCAAGAACGAACCCCCAATTGCTCCCCGGGCGCCGCAGCAAAAACATCTGCCCACTGCTCCAGGTGTGTGTTCACGGTGTGTGTGTGCACTTGGATGGGTGAAATGCAGAGTATGGGACACCATACTTGGCCACACGTCACATCCTGTCCTTTCCTTTTCCTGTCCATCAAAATCTAAATTTGTTTATATTTACAAAACATGTGAAACCATTGGAGATCTTTTCTTTGTACTTTTGTCAATTAAATGAGAATTTAAGAAAATTAACAAATCACAGGTTCTTGTTGTCCCAACTTTATCTAATTTGGGGTTGTGGTATATTGTGACAATTATTTATTCGCATAATAATAATTATTCATGAATTAATTGTAAAAATAACAAAGCATCATGCAGACGTATGCTTTTGTGTGGAGCATTTATGACACACCAAGATGTGGAAAACAACAGTTGCATTTTATTAGTGTCGATTTGACCCGGACGCATATTTTGTTAATAAATTACATGGATGTTGTCTAACTCTATTCAACTACATTTTAAGGTTGTTTTATTAAAGTTTTGTTCCTTTCAGATGTGAGTTGTGGTTCATCCTCTGATGGAGATAAAGAAACTGTCTCAACCTCAAAAGAGCAGCTTCAGACCAAGAGTTTCTCCTGCGCCACCTGTGGAAAAACACTGAGTTCAGAGGGTCATTTAGCGAGACACGAGAGAACACACACAGAACAGAAAGACTTCAGCTGCAAGTTATGCAACACCAGCTTTCCTACCGCAGAAGAGAGGAGACTTCATTCAAAAGAGCACAGCAGGAAGGAGGACTTTCACTGTGAACAGTGCGGGAAGGATTTTTTCACCATTGCTCATAATATGAAAGCTCATATAAAGACACACAACGAAAAGTCTTTCCACTGCAGCGACTGTGACAAGTATTTCAGCACCAAAGGAAATCTTGTTGTTCATAAGCGAATCCACACGGGAGAAAGACCGTACAAGTGCCCTCACTGCGAAAGAAGATTCATGTATGGATCTCATCTGAAGACACATGTGCGTTTGCACACCAATGAGAGGCCGTACCAGTGCAGTGAATGTGGGAAAGCCTTTAGGCAGTTATTTAGTCTACAGTCACACCAAAAAATGCACTCAGGTGAGAAACCGTTTCAGTGCAAATACTGTGACAAACGATTCCTTCACAAATCCTACCTGAACTATCATGAGAGGACTCACACCGGAGAGAAACCATATCTGTGCTCCTACTGCGGGAAGAGCTTTGCTAGTCCAGTTCATTTTGGACTTCATAAGAGAGTCCACACTGGAGAAAAACCGTATCACTGCAGCGTCTGTGGGAAGAGTTTTGGTAAACACATTACATTACAAAACCACAAGAGGATTCATACCGGAGAAAGACCGTTCAAATGCTCACAGTGTGACAAGACGTTTGCTCGATCAGACATTCTTAAGGTCCATCAGCGAGTTCATACAGGAGAGAAACCTTACTCCTGCTCCATCTGCGGCGAGAGATTCGCTTATTTAGGTAGTTTTCAGACCCACCAGAACAAACACGCTAAAGAACAAATTGCTCCAGAATCATCAGAGTGACTTTTCATGTCTTGGTCGGTCAATAAAGGCTTCATTTCGGCAGTTGCTTTCATCGTGCATGCCCTGTGATGTATAATGTGACGTATAACAGTAACATCATACACATGATGATTTCAATTTAAAACATGAGACATATATTATGCAACAGTTGAATTGGTTTTCTGAGCAGCGTTATTAGTGTGGATACTTCGTCCAGCATTACTGAGTGATTTCACTGTTTATACAGTATTAAGGCCTTTTCACACTGCACGCAAAAAATTTGGCGTGAATGTTGGGCATGATGACTGCTCAATAAATAAGGGATAATGTACATCCAGCCAGTTGTTATCCCAGAATAAAGCCCGAAAGGATGTTGTATAAGACTGAAGGGCTTTATTTTGCGATAACCGGTGGATGTACATTATCCCGCTTATTACATGGCTGCTTTCCAAAAAAATAAAAAATAATTAAACTTTAGACACAAAGCATTGTTCTAAGTTGAAATATTTAAACGCAAAGCTTTCATGAAAAAAGCTGTTGCTAGCAAGCGGCAAGTTCAAACTAGACGGACATTTAAGGGATACCGTTGCAGTCATATCACTTATTACACAACATTTCACCACAAAATTAAGGAGATAAAAGATACTGATTTAATATGAAACTGTTTTAAAATCTTACTAGTTTGTTAGATATCATATAATCCATTACAGTGTACACAACTACCGTCGCAAAATGGCAGCAGCTGCATTTGTATGAAACGCAATACCAGAATGACATAATTGTACACATATTTCATTGAGTTTTAATATCTTATTAGCTCACCAAACGCAAAGCTTTCACCAAGAAAAAAACTGTTTCTAGCAAGTGCATAGCGCCAACTGCAGTTACCCGGATGAGGCTGTATTGTTAGCGTTTGCCGGTTGTTATCAGGGAATAACGCACCTTGGAATGTGGTGACTGACCAATCAGAATCAAGCACTCCACAGAGCCGTGTAATTACTAGAACTATTATCGTATACATATTGGACACACAATTGTCCTGATGTGGAGAATATCAGCATGCATATCACAGAAGAAAGTCTTAAATTCAAAGTCATGGCATTAATTGTTGCATATGCTCCAAACAATGAATATCTTCCTTCCAGTACAGCTGTTCATCATGAAATATGCCAAGAATGTCCATGCTGTAAAAGTAAATAAAGCCAATATTTAGGACCATTAAGTTTTTTTGTTTTTTTTTTGGCATGTGACAACTTTGATTAAATTTCCCCCATGTTCTATTCAAATACTATATATTATACCTAAATATTTTAAAACAGGCTTAAACATAGAAGAGCAAAAGATCGTCTGTAATGGTAACAGACAGTTGCTGTTAGAGTAACGGTCAAAAACGGATTTAAGGTGGGGCTTCAGAAAGGGTCAGTTATTGTCACAATGCTTCTAAATGGTCTTAAATTAGGCTTTATATATCACTATATATAATTTTTGGTTTAATTTTGGGTGAAATATGCCCCAGATATTTTTTTTTTTGCGAGTCACTAAATTAGCTTGACTAGCAGCTTTAACACCAGCAATTTCTTAAACTCACGTAAATTACCTCAGACACATACAGTTCTATGTACTTAAGAATTGCTTAATTGTAATGAAAACAGGTCAAAGTAATTATTATGTCTGTCATTGTTGTAGTGTCCTACCCATTTTCCTACAATCATCCTCTCATTTCTTGACTAGCCGCACTCCATCCCAACCCCGTAGGCCTCTCCCTTTCTTCCAAGACCTCCACCATGAGATTTCGAGGTCTTGGAAACAACCTTTTTCGGCCCGTATCACTAATCCTGCTGCTGCTGATTTCGCCACTATTTCTAAAATGGCAGAACACGGTTATGTGGCGATGCCGACCGTAGAGGAGACTCTTGCGGCACATCTCGCGCCAAACTCCGCTCCATAATGGAAGTCACGCCCCTGTTGCCGTCCAAGCCGTGTAGGGTTACTTCTGCTTTAGTCGTCAAATCTTACATGGCTACTGGGCAGTCCGCGGCTATGCTTCACTCTATGGGCGTGCTTCAGGCTTATCAAGTGGATGTGCTCAAGGAGCTGGATGAGGGAGAAGGCCTGACCTCAAAGGCTGTTAAAGTGCTCAGGCGAGCTACGGATTTGGCGCTTAGAGCTACCAAACATACGGCTCGTGCAGTGGGTAGGTCCATGGCAGGTATGGTGTCAGTTGAGCGCCACCTTTGGCTCACACTCACTGATATAAAAGAAAAGGACAGGACTTTTCTAAAGAACTAGCAGCTTTGAGCAGCTCACCGCATTAAAAAAAGAACACTTATTGATAGTTCCAACTCAGGAAGGAGTTTGTCAAATTTGGGGCAAGTAACCAAGATTAATGGTCAAAGACACAGCATATCATGACCATCACATGAGGAAAATCAGTCCTCATTCCACAGGATTCCTTCTAAACCCTTTTGACCTTTGGTCTTCACAAAGAACATGTCCTCACGTTCACAGAATGGTTTGCTCGATCAGATGTCCTCAAGGTCCATCAGCGAGTTCATACAGGAGAGAAACCTTAAGGCTTGTGCACTCCGGGACAATTATCGCCGATGTTTAACGCTTAGTGACCAAACAAGGGGCGCCAATGTGAGTGTGGGCACTGACGTGCAAAACGCCAGGTGTAAAAGCGTCATTTTTTAAAAATACACCTCAGGCTAGTTTTTTTTTTTGGTTTGACACGCCGCATTAAAAACTGGCCGACCAAGGTGATTGGCGTTTTTGTTCATGTGTCTGGAGCTGCTGAAGTTACAGTAAAACACAACTTGGTGGCGCTCAAGCACAAAACGGTCTTGCCGAGCACACATTGATACCTAACGACGAAGAGGAAGTAAGTAGACCAAGAAGATGCATCGAGGCAAGATGAATGTAGAGCTGCTGGTTTCATTGGTGTCTGAACACAGGGCTTTATGACAAATGCGACAGCGACTACAAAAATCTCGATAAGAGGGAGTTGTTATGGAGAGGAATTGCAGATCAAATAGGATTCGATGTGTCCCGGGGTATTTCTGTTTTTCATTAAGCGCCATCTAATGTCAGGGAGTGAATTTGCACGTTCACTCGGCTCATCGCCAGCGAAAATCGCTTTGGTATGAACACAAAGATGCGTTGAAAAACGTCTCGAACAACGCTGGCGATAAGCGCGTGCGATAATCGTCCCGGTGTGCACGAGGCCTTACTCCTGCTCCATCTGCGGCGAGAGATTCGCTTATTTAGGTAGTTTTCAGACCCACCAGAACAAACACGCTAAAGAACAAACTGCTCCAGAATCATCAGAGTGACTTTTCATGTCTTGGTCTGTCAATACCCCGTTGAAAAAACCAGCGTATGCTGGTTAGGTATGTTTTGAAGCTGGGATGCTGGTTTAAACTGGCCCTTAGATGGTCATGTGCTGGTCTTAAGCTGGTCGGACCAGTTTAGGACCAGCACATGACCAGCTATAGACCAGCTTAAACCAGCTCATACCAGCATCCCAGCTTCAAAACATACCTAACCAGCATATGCTGTTTTTTTCAACGGAGTAAAGCCTTTATTTCTGCAGTTGCTTTCATCATTTCCTCATTTATATGTCAATTTTTGCAAAACAAGAAAAAATAATGTGTACACACACAATAACGATAATGAGAAATAAAGTAAAAAATTAGGACTTTCTAGGTCAAAACTGAACTTTTGCAGTTTTGTTAGAATTTCAACTTATGTCAATTTTGATTTAATGTCATAAGTGAGATTTTCCTCATATACGTTGGATTTTTTTCTTTCTTTTTTTCAATTACAGAATAAAAATGTGGACTAATCATCTAAAAGTCTGATGTACTCAAAATGACCAGTTTGTAAATAGAACTATTAAATAAGTAGAACTTTTGCATAAATATTGTACTCACAATTGTCCTGTTGTGGAGAAGCTGTAGATGATTGGATGCTTCTTACGAAATCGGTCAAGAATATCATGTTGTAAGTAAATGAAGCCATTATAGGAACTTTTTTTTTTTTTGTTCAAATCAAATTGCCCCCATATACCCTACATGTCCTGCATATTTGAATTCTGATAATACTAAAACATCGCACTTTAAACAGACTTATATTAGAAGAGCAAAAGACAATCTGATAGTGTTGGTAACAGACAATATCAGAAGAAACGGTCAATAACGGATTTTTAGGCGGGGCTCCAGAAAGGCGGTTATTGCCAAGAAGCATCTAAATGGTCTTAAATTAGACTTTCTTTAGCAATATAGCCTATATATAATTTTTCTTTTGATGGTGGGCGTAATGTGACCCGGACATTTCAAGTGATTTTCATTTTCATTACAGCGCGCTTGACCAACTTTAACACCAACAATTTCCTAAACTCACGTAAATTATACACATACGTACAATTTTATATATTGGCTCTTAAGTATTACCAAAAGACTACAGGAATCGAAAGGGACTTGTATTTCATATATGTAACGGAAAACGGTTTAAACTAATAATTGTATCTATCGCCCCGCCCATTTTCCTACGATCACCCGCTGTCCGCCAATGCCGCTCTCGTTGAACTTGACAGACATCAGCAGTGGCCAATAGAAACGCGCGGTTTGCAGACAAGGGTCGTTCTTCAGAAGTTTATGATGGTCTGCTGACCGGATGAGAAAACTTTCTCCCCGAGTTTTTCTCTCACTGTTTCTGACAACTGGAGTCTGATTTCTTGGGTCGTTTTATTTGCGTTCAGACGCTTTATTTTGGGCCGACGCGTTTTTAAGCGCGTGATGAAGTGATCGGTGGAGTTTCTCCGGGGTTTGTAGCGTCTGAGAGAAGCTGGTGATGGGGAACCGCGGGATGGAGGAGCTGATCCCCCTCATTAATAAGCTGCAGGACGCGTTCAGCTGCATCGGCCAGAGCTGTCACCTGGAGCTGCCGCAGATCGCGGTGGTGGGCGGCCAGAGCGCCGGCAAGAGCTCGGTGCTGGAGAACTTCGTGGGCAGGTCACAGCGGCTCTCTTAACAAAGCCACACTAGTGGAACACGTCTAGTGCTCGATTTCTAATTATTTAAGTTCTTTCAAATTGTTAATTCAAGTTTACTTGTGTGTAGATGAATTTGAAAGCGTTCGCCATATGATCAGAAAGTCACTGCTGGTCAAACATTAACCGTCTGCTGAAGTGTTGACGTGTTCTTAAAGGCATAGTGCGCTCAAAAAGCAACATTAGATGGCTATTTATGCACTTTCATGTCCTTACAAACCTGTTTTTCTAGGCAACGCAAATTAATGCAGATTTAGTTTTTCATACAGCTGCGCAGTGACCACCAGTTGTTGGGGAACGTTACTTTAAAAAGTATTGCGTTACAATATCGCGTTACTATCTGAAAGTAGCTGATTGGGTCTGAAAAAATAAATAGTAATTTATAGTAAATACTATAGTGTTTTTGAACCATACTATAGTAAAGTGTATTATACTGTATATATTATAGTATTTACAGCATACTGTAGTATTAACTATAGTAAACTGATAAACTGTAATAAGTATTGTAGTATGCTTTAG